TGAGATCGGGAGAGAAAACTGTAGACTGCTATTTCTACCAGACTTCGCAATGTACCAGGGGCTAGCTTTGCAAATACCTTCATTCACCGTGTACATCTCGGGACGAGCATGTGCCTAAGAAGGAGGCAGTGTTGCGGACCCGTGTGGACTCGACCTAACCTAACTATATGTCCCGCCCTCAGATGACCTTAACATCGCATTAAAGAATATACACCGTATAATGATTCATTCGTTCGAGAAGAATCGAGTCCCACTGGAATGGACTAGTTCATACGAGAACATTCGAAAACCTTCTCTACGCACCTAACGATCTATGGACTATTCTAGAGTTCTTTACCTGTCGGTATAAAAGCCGGCGGCTGTGGCCTACAGGGGGCAGTTATAAATATATCAGTGCAGTGGACGCGCTAAAATTCAAAATAAATTCTTAGTTATAAATCGTTTGTAAATAGTTCTATAAGTCTTTTATCGTTATTGTTTTTGTTAATTAGTGTTAAATAAATAGTGTTTAAATAAATTGTGACTTTCTATCCACACGGAACCGACGAAAAACGTAACATTACAATAAAAGCTACCTAAATTGGAATTTACCCGGTATAGGCTAATATGTAGTTAAATTAACTATTGTACTTTAAATCAAATTAAAACTTATATTTATATAAAAAGTTATACAGGGTGAGACAAAACTAATATTGAATATTGGTCACCTTTAAAAGCATGTTACTCTTTTATTTTAAATAGAACACCCAGTATATTATGGAGAATTTATGTCTCTTCAAAATACTATTAAGGTTGCCTACTCCTCAAACAAAGATTTTCCTAGATATTTTCATTTACATGATTTGATCTGATTAGATCTTTATTATTTGATAAAATCTAGATGACTGTGATATGTCTGACGTTACTTCAACATAGATGTCTAATTAGTTCAACTTTAACAACTAGTTATCATCTTTTGTCAGTTAAAACAAAAAAATTTCTCAAGAATTTGCCGAAAATGCAAACTTATCCTACATCAGAGAGAATTGATATGATTCTATTAGTTGGTGAATGCAGTGTGCATTCACCAATTAATAGAATACTTAAATGCTCCTGATCTTTATAGTCTGGTTTTCTTATGGAAATATGTTAAAGACAGTGTTTAAAAAACTTGACCAACTAGTGTCGACAAGATGAGATAAATTATTGTAGCGACTTTTTGAGGTAGAACTCCACATATGCCTTTTAAAATGAAAAGATCCTTTTGAAAAGGCAATCATTTTATGCAGTTAACAGGAAAGGAAGCATTTTGAGCATTTGATTTCATCTAGCTAATTTTTGTCGCATAATAATTATAGGTTTATATCTAGTTTTAATTCTGTAATAATTAAAATATGTTTTAAACGTGTATTTTTTTATTACCGTTGAGTATTTTACTCCACAATCTTTAATTTTTGTTAAATTAACAAAAGGTATATCACACAGCCACCTAATTTTTTTCAAATAATAAAGATCTACTGACGCAAAATCATAAAAATTAAAATATCTAGGAAAATCCTTATCTTATCTTCCTTATCTATCCTTACCGGAAAAATATACTGGGTGTTCCATTTAAAATAAAGGAGTAACTTATTGCTTTTAAACGACTAATGTTCCATATTAGTTTTGTCTCACCCTGTATAACTTTTCGGGTCAAATTTCAATTTGCTTTAATATACAATGGCAATTTCAATTTGGTTTAACATACAAACCAAACTATAACAAAGTCAACTAAAATTTAGGTAGCTGTTATCGAAATTTAAAATTTACTCTTCATTTTCACAAAATGTGAAATATGTCAAAATCCTTAGATTTTAGGTATATGCTTCTTGGATAAAACTTTTCTAGAATCGGAAAATCAATTAATATATAGGGTGTTCCATTAGAAAAAAACACAACTTTGATGTGAACTTTTTTTGGGGACACCGTGTATAATTCTATATATTTTTATAAAATGCAGTTAACCTACATATGCTGCCAAAATTTCATTTCGATATAAACTACCGTTTTCTTTGGGGCTTCCGCGGCGTATGAGAGGCGCCACCCTGTATGTGTAGCTTCAAACATTTTTAAAAATATTTTCGAAATAAGCCACATAATACGCGCCAAGAATTTAATTCCGATTAAAATTATTGTTTTTCCTAGAGATATGTCTTGTAAGAGGCTCCACATTGTATAATATTTGAAAATCATAATTACACATGTACTTTGTTATGTTATTAAACTACTTATGAATATCCGTTTGATAACATAACAAATTTTTCAGAACACCAGAACTGGTCCAAACAAATTTTCAACAAAAGTTTTAATTGGTTATTATTCATGAGTAAACAACATATCGCAAAAAATCCCGATATATTTAACATATTATAGCCTAATAGATAAATTCGGGAAATACCGCATATTATAATAATCTAATAACTAATTAGTTGAAAATATAAAAAAAAACATTAAAATTAGAGTATTTAAAATTAAAAATACCTACCAATCAACAAATAATCTAATATAAACTGTTCCAAAATATTATAGAGTAAAGAGATACCGATACTAGTACTCGATACCGTGTGTTTTGCAAAATTGAAGTCTCATTAAGGAGCCGATAACGCCTATAAACCGCCTCGTGCGTGTTGGCATCATATTCACTATAATATATAAATCCAGATATAAATGATATAACATTTATACGTAATGTACGTTTATACGTTTGTTATATACTCGTATAATATAATAATAATATACGTTTAAACGTTATATACGATATAACGTTTATACAGGGTGGTTCGAATTGTATTCGGGAAACTTCGACAGCACATTCTGCAGATAAAAATAACTAAAAAAATTCGGATAAATGTATGTCCTAAAATGATAGTTTCGTAATACATAGTTTTCATTTTTATTTCGATTGTTTTCAAATAATTTCTGACCTAATGACATTTGGTGGTCGTACAATGGGCGCATTCAGTAAACACACCGGTATTAATCTGTAAAGACCTACCCAGTGGCAGATACAGTGGGAGGGCCCATGGGACCCGGGCCCCCCTAAAGTCTGTGAATTGTGTAAAATTTTAGGCTTTTGGGTTAAAAATGGCGTCCTAAACAGCATAATCTACATTGCTTTTTATTTTGCCCCCCCCCCCTAAAATAAATTCCTGTATCCGCCCCTGGACCTACCGATAACTTTTCATTGAACGATCAAGTTACTGATACGTAAATAAATAAATAAACAGGAAACAAAATACGGTAGGCTCTCAAGTGATCGGTGAATCAACCGGTGAGTTACCATTGGCATTTACTTTAATTTTCTGCACCGGTGGACTAACCGGTATGTTTACCGAATGTGCCCAATGTCTCCCTTTATTTTTTGGCTATCTATCTTCTTACCACATAGAATTTTCAATGATGGCTAATTGTAAAAATTTCAGAAATAACAGTTGCAGTAAACTCAGTGCCATTGTCGCTATGAAGTATGAGTCGCAGGAGTCCCAGACTCCAGAAATATTTTAATCAGTTCTTTTGCAACCTCCGCTGCACTTTTTGTCGTAAAAGGTCGTAAAAATATAAATTTCGTTACATGATTTTGATAATGGAGGAACCGATGAAACTCATTGTCGGGGCGATATTGAAAATCTATTAGGTCAAATTGTCATAGTCATAAATTAAATAAAAATATGTCATCAACAAAACAGTTTTATTAATTAATGAATCCAAACTATATCATTGTTACTTAGAAATAACTAACGAGATTATTATTATCAAATAGAACATTTGGTTAATGGTAGCCTAGTTCAGTCCTTACACTTTTGGAATATATTTAAAAACATAAACAAAAATAAAGAATAGCATATAAAACAAATCTACTAAAAGATTCATTATAATTAAGTGTTTAAGAATATCACCCGACTTGTTCCTTTGAAAATCAATACAAATTATTCGATTTGATAATAGAATTTGGTTCATACAACTTTTAGTACATATAAGTTAGTTCTCCGTTTATTTATAGTACTAAATGAACTTCAAATTTCACCATTTTTAGGCTATATCATTCACAAATAAAATGTTTGTAAAATATGAACTATAAATGGCGAAAATCAAAAATTATTCATCTTTTTTTCGTCATTTTCACTGTTTCTTCTGCAGTTCGTTTCTTGCCTCGAATTTCATGACTATTTGCTTCGATAAGCAATTTGTTTTCACAGACTACACAGTTATCCGTACTTCCATGGCCTGCCGTACAAAATATAGTTAATTCTTCTACACTCAGTTTCTCCTCCTTTATTTGTACTTCCTCTGGATTGAAATATGAATCGGCCACAACCTCAGGAGACATTTCTTCGGGTATTTCCAGTTCTTGGGATGTTTCTTTCATTTTTCGCTTATCTTTACCCATATCGATGTCATCTGAGACGTCAATCTTACTCCCAATTTCCCCTGATATGCTTTCTGATTTATTGTTTTGTTGTTTTAAGACACTTGGTATACTCAATAAAAATAAATCGTCTACAGTTTTAATCGAATCCAACAAATCCTTAGGAATATTTGCACTGGAAAATCCGAGTTTAGGGTCTGTTCCAAATAACGCTTTAAAAGGAGAACATCCTATTGCATTATTGTGACAGTTGTTTCTCTGAAACTGTACAAAATGACAACCTAGCGACCAGTTGTTCGATTGGTGGTCGTACATCCATGCCTCCAACATATTTACAAGGTCCTGATGACGGTCTTCAATGTCTCCCTTTATTTTTTGGCGATCTAGCTTCTTACCACAAAGAATTTTCAATGATGGCCATATTGTGAAAATTTCAGAAATAAGAGTTGCAGTAAACTGAGTGCCATTGTCGCTATGAAATATGAGTCGTAGGAGTCCCAGACTCCAGAAATATTTCAATCAGTTCTTTTTCAAACTCCGCTGCACTTTTTCTCATTGTCGGGGCGAGGTCATAGTATTATTATATTATAATACATAAATTAAATAAAAAATATGTCATCAACAAAACAGTTTTATTAATTAATGAATCCAAACTATATCATTGTTACTTAGAAATAACTAATGAGATTATTATTATCAAATAGAACATTTGGTTAATGGTAGCCTAGTTCAGTCCTTACACTTTTGGAATATATTCAAAAACATAAACAAAAATAAAGAATAGCATATAAAACAAATCTACTAAAATATTCATTATAATTAAGTGTTTAAGAATATCACCCGACTTGTTCCTTTGAAAACCAATACAAATTATTCGATTTGATAATAGAATTGGTTCATACAAGTTTTAGTACATACAAATTAGTTCTCCGTTTATTTATAGTACTAAATGAACTTCAAATTTGACCATTTTTAGGCTATATCATTCACAAATAAAATGTTTGTAAAATATGAACTCTAAATGGCGAAAATCCAAAATGAATCGTCATTTTCACTGCTTCTTCTGCAGTTCGTTTCTTGCCTCGAATTTCATGACTGTTTTCTTCGATAAGCAATTTGTTTTTACACACTACACAGTTATCCGTACTTCCATGGCATGCCGTACAAAAAATAGTTTAATTCTTCTACACTCGGTTTCTCTTCCTTTATTTGTACTTCCTCTGGATTGAAACATGAATCGGCCACAACCCCAGGAGACATTTCTTTGGGTATTTCCAGTTCTTGGGATGTTTCTTTCATTTTTCGCTTATCTTTACCCATATTGATGACATCATCTGAGACGTCAATCTTACTCCCAATTTCCCCTGATATGCTTACTGATTCATTGTTTTGTTGTTTCAAGACACTTGGTATACTCAATAAAAATAAATCGTCTACAATTTTAAGCGAATCCAACAAATCCTTAGGAATATTGGCACTGGAAAATCCGAGTTTAGGGTTTGTTCCAAATAACGCTTTAAAAGGACAGAGTCTTATGGCATTACTGTGAAAGTTGTTTCTCTGAAACTGTACAAAATGACAACCTAGCGACCAGTTGTTCGATTGGTGGTCGTACATCCGTGCCTTCAACATATTTCCAAGGTCTTGATGACGGTCTTATATGCCTCCCTATAATTTTTAGCGATCTATCTTCTTACCACAAAGAATTTTCAATGATGGCCATATTGTAAAAATTTCAGAAATAACAGTTGCAGTAAACTCAGTGCCATTGTCGCCATGAAGTATGAGTCGCAGGAGTCCCAGACTCCAGAAATACTTTAATCAGTTCTTTTGCAACCTCCGCTGCACTTTTTGTCGTAAAAGGTCGTAAAAATATAAATTTCGTTACATGATTTTGATAATGGAGTAATCGATGAAACTCATTGTCGGGGCGAGATTGAAAATTTATTAGGTCAAATTGTCATAGTATTATTATATTATAATACATAAATTAAATAAAAAATATGTCATCAACAAAACAGTTTTATTTATTAATGAATCCAAACTATATCATTGTTACTTAGAAATAACTAACGAGATTATTATTATCAAATAGAACATTTAAGGTTACTGGTAGCCTAGTTCAGTCCTTACACTTTTGGAATATATTTAAAAACATAAACAAAAATAAAGAATAGCATATAAAACAAATCTACTAAAAGATTCATTATAATTAAGTGTTTAAGAATATCACCCGACTTGTTCCTTTGAAAATCAATACAAATTATTCGATTTGATAATAGAATTTGGTTCATACAACTTTTAGTACATACAAGTTAGTTCTCCGTTTATTTATAGTACTAAATGAACTTCAAATTTCACCATTTTTAGGCTATATCATTTACAAATAAAATGTCTGTAAAATATGAACTATAAATGGCGAAAATCCAAAATTAATCATCTTTTTTTCGTCATTTTCACTGTTTCTTCTGCAGTTCGTTTCTTGACTCGAATTTCATGACTATTTTCTTCGATAAGCAATTTGTTTTCACAGACTACACAGTTATCCGTACTTCCATGGCATGCCGTACAAAACATAGTTAATTCTTCTACACTCAGTTTCTCGTCCTTTATTTGTACTTCCTCTGGATTGAAATATGAATCGGCCACAACCTCAGGAGACATTTCTTCGGGTATTTCCAGTTCTTGGGACGTTTCTTTCATTTTTCGCTTATCTTTATCCATATCGATGTCATCTGAGACGTCAATCTTACTCCCAATTTCCCCTGATATGCTTACTGATTCATTGTTTTGTTGTTTTAAGACACTTGGTATACTCAATAAAAATAAATCGTCTACAGTTTTAAGCGAATCCAACAAATCCTTAGATATATTGGCACTGGAAAATCCGAGTTTAGGGTCTGTTCCAAATAACGCTTTAAAAGGAGAACATCCTATTGCATTATTGTGACAGTTGTTTCTCTGAAACTGTACAAAATGACAACCTAGCGACCAATTGTTCGATTGGTGGTCGTACATCCATGCCTTCAACATATTTACAAGGTCTTGATGACGGTCTTCAATGTCTCCCTTTATTTTTTGGCGATCTATCTTCTTACCACAAAGAATTTTCACTGATGGCCACAATGTAAAAATTTCAGAAATAACAGTTGAAATGAACTCAGTGCCATTATCGCTATGAAGTATGGCAGGAGCCCCCGACTCTAAAAATATTTTAATTAGTTCCTTTGCAACCTCCTCTGCACTTTGTGTTTTAAGGGGTCGTAAAAATATAAATTTCGTTACATGATCTTCATAATGGAGTAACCAGTGAAACTCATTGTCCGGGCGTGATTGAAAATCTATTAAGTCAAATTGCCCTCTTGAAATAATATCTGACGAAATAACAGGTTGTACGGCCGAACTCGTATGATTTTTGTTCTTTCTCTGTTGGCACACTCTACATGTTTCGATAAGTTTCTCTATCGCAACTCTTGATACCTCATACGCTGATTTCACGGTGTGGAGCAGTTTATCTCGTCCGCCGTGACCTATATTAACGTGCTTTTCGTACAAAAGATTAAATAAGTCCTCGTAAGCAACCATATAAGTCATTTTTTTATTATCTTTGTGTTTTTTAACAACGACCATTTTCCCATCAACTTGTTTTAAGTCGTAGAGAGATAGAAGATAGTACTGGCGTCTTTTCTTTCTCCCTGGTGTTTCTTTGGCCAGTAAAATATCATCCGCTATCTGTAACAAAAATCCTTTATTAGAGTTGGTAAAGTAAAATAGGTCTTCTAATACTTCTTGAATATTATAAAATCGAATTGGAAAATTAAATCGTAGGTAAACATACAAGGTTGTTATGTTTTTAAACCAGTACACTGTGACCTTATCTCTCCACAGTACTAAAATCTATTACTATTTATCTATAGTGTGATGTCGTTATTTTACAGCTACTCCAGTTTTTACTCCCATATACAGGGTGGCGCACCTCATTCGCCTCGGTTGATTATACGAAAACGGAAAGATCTAGAAACAAAATATTTTATGAGTATATGTGGGGAGGCAATGTGCACAATTTAAAATTATTTTGAAACATACAGGGTGTTTCAGAACTAAGATCCATACCAAAGTAATATTTTTTCTTTTGGAACACCCAGTATTTTATTTCATTTTTGGATTCTTGAGCCCAAAAAAGGCGTTTATTATAAGGGTTAAATATGTTTAAAATATTTGGTTTTTGAGATTTTTAAAGGTATTTAAATTTGCATATTACAACAGAATAGATTATTAACACCCTGTACATTACATTTCAGAATTAATTCTTGTGCTATGTTTAAAGGTAGAGAAATAAACTTTACTGAAAAATGTTATTGCTACCTTAAATTTATACAGGGGTATCAAAAATTGCTGATCTATTTTATGGATTTATTTTACATAAAAAGTTCGTTATTTTAAATACAACACCCTGTACTTTTAAAATAAATCGAAGCCGATTCAAATGCTCTTTCAAACTATATTAGGGTTTCCTATACCTATCTAGCTCAGATTTTGAATAAAAAGCGATTTTTAAATAAAATTGCAATCAAGGTGGTTGGTGTCGCCATGGCAATTTTCTAGCGACAGTTAGTAACTATTTTTAAAGTCGACAAAAGTTTATGGACTTAATTTAAAATTATTTAAATTTATAGCAGTTTACTGTTATTTAATTTACCTACAATAGTTTAATAAGTAATATACCCCAGTCTTTGATTTATTTTACAATGACTTGTAGATATATGGATTTTCTATAAAAGAGCCAATTACGGCAAATTCATTTTCTTCACTTCCAATGACAGGTTTCTGCCTAATAAGTTTTTTATAAACCACACTACCAGCTCTGCAATATAGGACAAGTAGTTTTTCAAAAGAACGCTTATCAGGAAGACTCCTATTTGGATATCTTTGAGCATAAGCCCTTGAGGCCAAGAAGCAATTTTCCTTTTGAAAAACTACTTGTCCTATATTGCAGAGCTGGTAGTGTGGTTTATAAAAAACTTATTAGGCAGAAACCTGTCATTGGAAGTGAAGAAAATGAATTTGCCGTAATTGGCTCTTTTATAGAAAATCCATATATCTACAAGTCATTGTAAAATAAATCAAAGACTGGGGTATATTACTTATTAAACTATTGTAGGTAAATTAAATAACAGTAAACTGCTATAAATTTAAATAATTTTAAATTAAGTCCATAAACTAATGTCGACTTAAAAAATAGTTACTACCTCTCACTAGAAAATTGCCATGGCGACAACAGCCACCTTGATTGCAATTTTATTTAAAAATCGCTTTTTATTCAAAATCTGAGCTAGATAGGTATAGGAAACCCTAATATAGTTTGAAAGAGCATTGAATCTACTTCGATTTATTTAAAAAAAATATAAGGTGCTGTATTTGAAATATCGAAGTTTTTATGTAAAATAAATCCTTAAAATAGATCAGCAATTTTTATATAAATTTAAGGAAGCAATAACATTTTTCAGTAAATTTCTCTACCTTTAAACATAGCACAAGAATTAATTCTAAAATGTAATGTACAGGGTGTAAATAATCTAATAATATTGTTGGCATGCATATTTAAATATCTTTAAATATCTTAAAAACCATAGATTTTAAATATATTTAACCCTTATAATAAATACCTTTTTTGGGTTCAAGAATCCAAAAATGAAATACTGGGTGTTCCATAAGAAAAAATATAACTTTGGTATGGATCTTAGTTCTGAAACACCCTGTATAATTCAAAATAATTTTAAATTGTGCACGTGGCCTCTCCACATATACCCATAAAATATTTTGTTTCTACATCTTTCCGTCTTCGTATAAACAACCGAGGCGAATGAGGTGCGCCACCCTGTATACAAGCTGTATACAGGGTGGCGCTTCCCATACGACACAGTTGACACAATCAGTTGATTTAGACAGATCGAATATGTGGACTTTCCTTAACCTATAAACCAAATTTTAACTTTCAATATGCCGAATTTACGAATGAGCCAATGTTTATTCCAAATCATGTTTTCGTCAATTTTACACATGTTTAATTTTTTATCTTAAAACTATTAGAAATAGGTAGGTATAGACATAGGTTAGTATAACAGAAAAATTTTGAGATTTGGAAATAGTTTCGAAAAATATAATAATATACCAGGGGTTTCATTTAAAATAACAAAGATGCTACCACTTTTAGTATAAATCGGCAACACTGTAATGTTGAAATTAATTTAGACACCGGTTCTCCATAAACGTCAAACGTACCATGGACGTGAATTACCCTGTATATATTACTAGTCTTTTTTTCTCGCAATATTTTTTTTAATTAATATTCGACATATAAGAACACTTTGTATGATTTTAATTAGGTAGATCTATCGTTTATAATATGTTCGACCTAAATTTATTATAAATCAACTAAATCAACCCCCTTCCCCCAACCCTCTGTTCCTTAAGTTCTGTCCTCCTTCCCTAAGTTCTGTCGTCTGTTCTTCCTCCGACCACCAGAAGCGCACTTGTGCAAAATTGAAATGTATTATAAGTTGCCTATCTATTTAATATTGTAAGTTTCTATGATAGAAAATAGAAACGAATATAAACTTAGGATATAAATAAGTCCCCGACTCTTTATCGGTTATGGATAGGTTATGGCTTTGGCTTATGGAATTTGGTATAGAAAATAAAATAACATTTTTCAGAAAATTTCTTATGAGAAACATGTTTTTGGGACTTCGTTTAAAATAATCTAAGACGTTCATTTTAAGATAAAATAGGCTTCATTTTCGAAAAAAAAATTGTGTCTGGATAGTTCATTGAACTCTGATAGTTACCTCTTTGAGTTCTTCTCTATTCCATGCCTTCTTCCTATTACTGTCTTCTGCATAATATTCGTTAAGTTTTATATAAAACAGTTCTGAATGCTGTAATAGCTCCATTTTATGTCCTTTAATATACGAAACAAACACAAAACACGGCCTCTTAATAGGGACTAGATATTTAGAGAGATTGTGTCATTGAGAAAACCCCAACAAACGAATATTAATTATTCCTAACTCCAAACAACGACCCTCGATTATGGTATTATATATAGACAAGGCAACGACCGACCGACTGACTGACTGACTGTAAAACGTAAATATGTTGAAAGTTCTCCGATCTCCAAGCCTAGCTACGCTCATAAAATAATTAACTAGAAAGAAGTGTCAACTCTGTGTTAAATCGTGGAAACACGATACGCCACCGAAAGCCTTCGTTGTCGTCTGGAGAACTAATTTTCCAATTGACAGGTTGACATGATAAGGACATGATGGCTTAATTTTCATTTCCGTTTCCGGTTATTCAATGGCGGGTCCTCTTTCAGTTCAAATGTATTTTGTATTTTTACTTTTCATAAATAAAACCAAAAATTATTTATTCACATATATTATTTGAAATATGGAACAACGTGACTAAATAAACATAAAAATATAGAGGATTGTATTGTTTCAATACCAATTAGTTAATTATATGTACTTTTAACGTAAATTAGTTAAGGTATAAGCATGACTTACAGTAATTTGTAAATAAACACACGTATTCGCAGACTTCAAGGACAGAAAACGGACACAGGGACATGAAAACGGGAGCCTTATACAAAAACCTGAAAACAGAAAAACAAATTTTTTTATACTAAAATTAACAATCTAAAAATATCAATAGGTATAAAATATAAATATACTGTTTAAAAAAGCGTCCATTATTCCCAAAGAGACCTGGCTTATAAATCAAAAAGAAGCAAAAAGAGACTTTTAGTCGGATAACATAATCAGATTATCAGTCCGATTTATTGCATTATTGACAATAAATCGCACATATTGGAGATAAATGATGTTGGCTATAGTTAAAAATGATCTTACCTTGCTGTAAATTGTTTCCATTTTCAAAAAAATCGCCGATCAAAGAGATTATAACACCATTTTCTTGCATCTAAAAAATGTAAAAACAGTGTTTATTTACTACCTATTTTTCATATACATGGGACATACCTACTACTGCAGAAACGTCATTTTCTCCAGGATTCTTCATGTAATATATATTTTATATACTTTATTACCTTTATATTTATAAATTTCAGCCGAAATATTAAATTGAACTTCCAAAACGAAACTAAACGGAATGAATTAAAATGGCGTCGAATATTTTCAGAGAATATTTTCGAATTTGTTCTAGAACAAATTTGAAGTTGTCTCTGAAACTGAAATCTGTCAATTCTAAACTGTGAAGTTAGACAATAGTTAGACAAAAACAATGCTGTCCTTGTCTAGGCGGCCATACTTGTCGTGAGGAGAATGACAGGAATGACACTAATGACTGTTTCCAATTTTCCTATTTCACTGTCACCCCCCTGGCTACGCTATTTACCGGATTGACTAATCATTACAGCGAATGACGCGAGACGCAAAACCTAGCGCTAGGGACGTTCAAAAAGATCGATATGTTAAAATATCGATCTTACGTAGTAAAAGTCATGGAATTAAAAGAAACAAACATGAAACAAATCATGGATTCTGAAAATACGTTTTTTTTCTCGAAGTAGAATGACTATTTCGGTATTTCAAAATTGGATATTTCATGTATACGAAAATGCTTTTCGTGGTTTTTGATTTAATGAGACTATTGAGAGACACAACAGTTTCAATAAAAACTATTTATTTCGCACATTTTTTCAACCTCGCCAGGCCTCGAAAACTTTTGGCGCGTCGTCGTCTTCGAAGCGAGTCGTTAGGCTCCTCCTACTTCCTTTCCGTTTTTCCTGTCAAGACAAGGCGCCAAATTTGAATTATAAGTAGGGAGGGGCATATTTAGTGCTATATCGATATACGATAACACCCCCCCCCCCACTTTGAAAAAAGCGTTGCCATGACGGTTAAAACAATAATTTACAATTTTACACTTTGATTTTACATAAATCAATGCAAAAATACAAATTTTACAAAACTAAATGAAAATAAATAAATAATAATAACTCTAGTAAAGTAAGAGAAAATATTAAGTTATATCTTCTAAAAATAATGATAATACAGAGTACAAAATTCAAAATAATTCTTAAAACATAAAACATAAATAAATGAATGGAGAACTTAAATAAAAATAAGTACAAATCAAATCTTCCTTTTGTTAGATTTGTGTGAAATATGTTTAGATTCTGTAGTAAGGTAGGTAAGTTTAATAAAGTTAGTAATAACCATTATCAAGCGTAACAACTAAGTGTACAAGCACAGAATAACTAGCTACGCAACAGAAGCCTCGTTACATGTATAAAATTGTAGGTAGCAAAAGGAGACAGGCTTTAAAAGTCAGTCTCCAAATCAGATATTTTGATGTGGGAGTTTCGCTACTACATAATAGAGGGCAATAAATTTAAAAGAAAACAGTTTTCTACAAACAAAATTTAAAAGAATTTTGTGCAGTATTGCCATTGTGTAATTCATATCGTAATACTTCCTGATAAAGCCTACCTTCAAATTTGCTACATCATTTAAACATATTGTTACGTTTTTCGTCGGTTCCGTGTGGATAGAAAGTCACAATTTATTTAAACACTATTTATTTAACACTAATGAACAAAAATAATAACGATAAAAGACTTATAGAACTATTTACAAACGATTTATAACTAAGAATTTATTTTGAATTTTAGCGCGTCAACTGTATATTTATAACTGCCCTCTCTAGGCTACTACTGCCGCCGGCTTTTATACCGACAGGTAAAAGAAATCTAGAATAGTCCAAAGATCGTTAGGCGCATAGGGAAGGTTTTCGAATGTTCTCGTATGTACGAGTCCATTCTAGTGGGTCTCGATTCTTCTCGAACGAATGAATCATTGCGGTGTCTATGCAATGTTAAGGTCATCCGAGGGCGGGCCATATTGTGAGGTTAGGTCGAGTCCACACCGGCTCGCAACACTGCCCCCTTCTTAGGCACATGCTCGTCCCGAATGTATACGGTGAATGAAGGTATTTGCAAAGCTGGCCCCTGGTACATTGCGAAGTCTGGTAGAAATAGCAGTCTACAGTTTTCTCTCCCGATCTCAGCTTTGGGTTGTAGCAGCAAACGAGGATCTCGATTCCCGTAAATCTGAACAAGACTTCAATCATGTTCCGGATTGTACGCCAACTCAAACCATCGAGTCCACACGCCAGCTTCGGAATGGCTAATCGTGCAATGTTGTTGTTTAGCAGGGCTTCTCTCAGTTCAATCAGGGTCTTCCATAGATTGAGATAAGTCGGCTTACTCGGGGACCATTCCTTGGTGACCAGGTAGAAGATGTGCCTTGCTTGACCATGTGCATTGTCGGTTAGCCTCAAGACGCTTCCAACCTCTGGATCCTGTCGGCGTAGTTCTCCGACACGCCCAAACTTCTCATTGAACGTCGCAGCGATTCCTCTGGACATCCGCAAATCTCGAGCCACACAATGAGCGAGCGAATAATCAGGAGGCACGGAAAAGAGGTCTCGTTGATCTTCTTTGGTTACACCATAGCGAGCCTTCTCACTGCTGTTGTATCGGGCCATGAAATCGTCAAAGGACATCTCCGAATCAGGGGGATCAAAGCTGCAGGTTCTCACGGTCCCAGCACGATCTTCTATTTCGCCTTGGTAGGGGCTCAAACGGTTGAAATGGACTACCCTCGGTTTTCCTTTTGGCAATTTTCTGATACGGTATACGACGTCATTAATTCTATCCATGACTTCGTATGGCCCTTCCCACGAGGATTGTAGCTTCGGAGATAACCCACGACGTCTCTGCGGGTTATATAGCCACACCAACTTCCCTGGTTGGTATCCTCCATGCTCAGCTTGAATGTCGTAGTGTTCCTTCATTCGGTCACTAGCACTTTGAATATTTAGGCGGACTCTCTGATGAATGTCGTCCATCCTTTGACGTAGTGTGTGGACATAATCTTCTCCGGCGACTTCTTCTCCCGGTCGGCAACCAAATTTCAGATCACAGGGTAGGCGCACTTCCCGTCCCATAACGATGCTGGCTGGAGTTTGCCCTGTAGATTCTTGGACGGATGAACGGTAGGCCAACAGGAACAGGTGAAGAAATTTGTCCCAGTCTCTTTGGTGGTCAGAGACTACTTTGGCCAGATAACGGTTGATAGTTCTGTTCATGCGTTCAACCATCCCATCGGATTGTGGATGTAGAGCAGTCGTCCTGGTCTTGCGGATGTTCAGGACTTCACAGACGCCTTGGAACAGATTGGACTCAAAGTTTCTTCCCTGATCTGAATGAAGCTCCATGGGAACACCAAACCTGCAGATCCATTCTTTAACAAGGGCATCAGCAATCGTGGACGCTTCTTGATTTGGCAACGCGTAGGCCTCGACCCATTTGCTGAAGTAATCCATTACTACCACAATGTATTTGTTGCCATCGTTCGTCTCCGGGAAAGGACCAGCCACGTCGATCGCTATTCGTTCGAAGGGACTACCAACATTGTACTGGCGCATAGGGGCTTTACCACGCTTTTGTGGCCCATTAATGGCTGCGCAAATGTCACATTTCTTACACCAGGCCCTCACATCTTCTTTGCAGTTCACCCAGTAGAACCGTTCACGCAGCTTGCCAAGTGTCTTGGTAACACCAAGATGTCCTCCGCTGGTTCCATTGTGAACTTCCTCCAAGACTTCTGGGACCCTTTTCATTGGAATGACGATCTGCCTTCTCTCTTCTTGTCCCTCCGGTCTCTCGATCACACGGCGAAGTAGTCCGTTATCTATTACCAAGGAATTCCACTGGGCCCAGTACGACTTTACGTTCGACGAATATCTGCAAACTTCTTCCCACGTTGGTCTTTGGCCTGTGTTTTTCCAGTTAATTACTAAACCTAATTCTGGGTCACTGGTTTGGTCATTTGCAAGATCTTCGGGTTGCCAACTATCATTAACCACAGTTGTTCTTAGGAGTTTCACTTCTTTCTCTTCTGCTCGGGAACAATGCTTACAGTCCTTAGCGCAAGGTCTTCTGGAAAGTGCGTCGGCATTCCAATGGATTGCCCCAGCTCGATGTTCTGTGTCGAAGTCAAATTCTTGTAATTGTTCAATCCATCTAGCTACCTGCCCTTCAGGATTCTTAAACTGCAACACCCATTTCAAAGCAGCATGGTCTGTTCTTAACAAGAAC